TTATAAATGCGAAAGTTTAGATGGATGGATGGATGTTTGTTAGCGTTTGTAGCCTAAACGGCTGAACGGATCTCCATTAAATTTGGCACAGATATAGAGCATAGTCTGGAAGAACACATAGGCTTTTTATCCCGGGAATAGTTACGGTTCCCATGGGATTCATTAATTTAGTTTTCTAATGTTTACTCGATCATTCTGCAACGGTTCAACATATCTTATTGAAATTTGACACAGATATAAAACAAAGTCTGGAGACATGGGGTAAGGTTCATCCCCGAAAAATGTCTGGTTTCCGAGGGATACGTAGCATTTTGTTATTTAAATAGTTCGTATGATATCTAATACCACGCGGACGAAGTCGCGGGCAACAGCTAGTTTTCAATATTATGTAAGCTGTATAACTTTTTCCGTTTAATGTAGTTTGAGTATACACTCATTTATAGATAGATTTTGCATAGATTTTGTATAACGCTTACACTCCCTTACATCAAACGAATTTTTATTCATTACCGTATTATAAAAAAGCATTGATTACAAAACATAACAACGTTACAGTAAACAAATTATATACGAAATACGACTATTCCACGAACCCCCTCATGTTGCATTCAAATCACGTCCTGACCGGGTGAAGTGGCAAATCATGGAGTGGCTGAAAATCAGTCAAATAGAGCCCGAGTTACTGGCAGTCGCGGGCTGAATACTAATGCGGGAAGACATTAAAATATTGAAAAAAAACGTGAATCTATACATAGAATAAAATTGGAGTATCATTTAATCTATTCAAAACATTACAACACTTACAAATACTAGAAAACTCTATGATCAGCTTTCTTTAGTCTCTAGTTAAAAAAATCAGAAGATGTTCATTGTTTTTTCTTAATATAGTGTATTTCACTTAGACGGAAAGGGAATGTTTAGGAAAGGGATTTCTGTACATCTCAATTAAAAATAACATCACATGGCATTGCCCACTTCACTATTTAGATTAAACTGGCTTTCGTTCGCGACTCCGTCCGCGGTATTCAAAAACGAACAAAAGTGAGTAGCCTAAGTATTCTTCCAGACCATCCTCTACATCCATACCAAATTTTATCGAGATCCGCAGTCGTTTAGGCTACAAACTCTAACAAACATCCATCCATTTCAACTTTCGCATTTATAATATTAGTAAGATAATTTAAACGTGTGCTTGTATTATGTTTCATATTAAAGCATCCTTTTCCATCCACAATAATTGAATCTTGCTTTTACGACATAAAGCTATATAAAAGAATCCAATAGGACACCGCTAGCAAAGCATTTAGCTGCCGCGTAGGGTGCGAGGAGGAAGTGAAATTAATCAGAGAGGCTCAAGGGCTCGCCGCGTCAAAAGAAAACCAAATAAAACGGCAAGCGACAAAGTTTCCACTTGCGAACGAACAATAACAACAGTGGAGTCGTATCCCTAAATTTTTTTTATTACCATTGTATTAACTAGAATTTGTTTGATATCACCTCTTTTGAGTGGTTAATACCTAAGTAACTTTTGTTATTGTAATTATAACTTACTAGTTAATGTAATAAATGTGAAAGTTTACATAAATAATGAGATGTTTGTTAAAGTTTATAGCCTGTTAAACGGGCTCGATAAAATCTGGCTTACATATAGAGGATAGTCCAGTAGAAAACGTAGGCTATTTACATTTTTTATTTTTTATTTCCACGCGGACGGAGTCGAGGGCGTAAAGTAGTTGTATACGAAAAATGTAATTTGTTAATTAAAAAACGCACAAATGAAAGATATTACATCTACACCTTAACAGTGTTTAACAGTGGTAGAGCCCGCTTTAACATCTTAGCACAAATAGGCCGGCACG